CTTGTGACCCCCCCCCCCCCCCCCCACTCTCGTGAGCGCGGTGGTCCACATGTCTCGTGATCTCCCCCCCCCCCCCCCACCAACACACACTCGGGCGGTGGTCCACATGTCTTATGACCCCCCACACACACTCGTGCGCACGGTGGTCCACATGTCTTGTGACCCCCCCCCCCACACACTCTCTCGTGAGGGCGGTGGTCCACATGTCTTATGACCCCCCCCCCACACACTCGTGCGTGCGGTGGTCCACATGTCTTGTGACCCCCCCCCCCCCCCACACTCGTGCGGGCAGTGGTCCACATGTCTTGTGACATCCCCCCCACACTCGTGCGGGCAGTGGTCCACATATCTTGTGACCCCCCCCCCCCACACACTCTCTCGTGAGGGCGGTGGTCCACATGTCTTGTGACCCCCCCCCCCCCACACACTCGTGCGTGCGGTGGTCCACATGTCTTGTGACCCCCCCCCCCCCCACACACTCTCTCGAGAGGGCGGTGGTCCACATATCTTGTGACCCCCCCCCTAACACACACACAATCGTGCGGGCGGTGATCCAGATGTCTTGTGACCCCCCCCCCCAACACACCAAAACACACTCTCGTGAGGGTGAGGGTCCACATATCTTGTGACCCCCCCCCCACACACACATTCGTGCTTGCGGTGGTCCACATGTCTTGTGATCCCCCCCCTCACACACTCGTGCGTGCGGTGGTCCACATGTCTTGTGACCCCCCCCCCCACACACTCTCTCGAGAGGGCGGTGGTCCACATATCTTGTGACCCCCCCCTTCCCCCTAACACACACACAATCGTGCGGGCGGTGGTCCACATGTCTTGTGACCCCCCCACCACACTCGTGCGGGCAGTGGTCCACATGTCTTGTGACCCCCCCCCCACACTCGTGCGGGCAGTGGTACACATGACTTGTGACCCCCCCCCCCCTCACACACTCGTGCGGACGGTGGTCCACATGTCGTGTGACCCCCCAACCCACACCAACACACACACTCTGGCGGTGGTCCACATATTTTGTGACACTCCCCCCCCACACCAACACACACACTCGGGCGGTGGTCCACATGTCTTGTGACCCCCCACACACACTCGTGCGGGCGGTGAGCCACATGGATTGTGACCCCCCAACCCACACCAACACACACACTCCGGCGGTGATCCACATGTTTTGTGACCCCCCCCCCCCCACACACTCGTGCATGCCGGTGGTCCACATGTCTTGTGACCCCCCCCCGCCCACCCACACACAGTCGTGCGTTCGGTGGTCCACATGTCTTGTGATCTCCCCCCCCCCACACCAACACACACACTCGGGCGGTGGTCCACATGTCTTGTGACCCCCCACACACACTCGTGCGCACGGTGGTCCACATGTCTTGTGATCTCCCCCCCACACCAACACACACACTCGGGCGGTGGTCCACATGTCTTGTGACCCCCCATACACACTCGTGCGCGCGGTGGTCCACATGTCTTGTGACCCCCCCCCCCCCCCACTCTCGTGAGCGCGGTGGTCCACATGTCTCGTGATCTCCCCCCCCCCCCCCCCCACCAACACACACTCGGGCGGTGGTCCACATGTCTTATGACCCCCCACACACACTCGTGCGCGCGGTGGTCCACATGTCTTGTGACCCCCCCCCACACACACTCTCTCGTGAGGGCGGTGGTCCACATGTCTTATGACCCCCCCTCCACACACTCGTGCGTGCGGTGGTCCACATGTCTTGTGACCCCCCCCCCCCCCCCCCACACACTCGTGCGGGCAGTGGTCCACATGTCTTGTGACACCCCCCCACACTCGTGCGGGCAGTGGTCCACATATCTTGTGACCCCCCCCCCCACACACTCTCTCGTGAGGGCGGTGGTCCACATGTCTTGTGACCCCCCCCCCAACACACCAAAACACACTCTCGTGAGGGTGAGGGTCCACATATCTTGTGACCCCCCCCCCCCCACACACACATTCGTGCTTGCGGTGGTCCACATGTCTTGTGACCCCCCCCCCTCAGACACTCGTGCGTGCGGTGGTCCACATGTCTTGTGACCCCCCCACCACACTCGTGCGGGCAGTGGTCCACATGTCTTGTGAACCCCCCCCCACTCTCGTGCGGGCAGTGGTACACATGTCTTGTGACCCCCCCCCCCCCCCCACACACTCGTGCGGACAGTGGTCTACATGTCGTGTGACCCCCCACCCACACCAACACACACACTAGGGCGGTGGTCCACATGTCTTGTGACCCCCCCCCCCCCTCATACACTCGTGCGGGCGGTGGTCCACATGTCTTGTGACCCCCCAACCCACACCAACACACACACTCGGGCGGTGGCCCACATGTCTTGTGACCCCCCACACACACTCGTGCGCGCGGTGGTCCACATGTCTTGTGATCCCCCCCCCCCCCCCCCCACACCAACACACACACTCGGGCGGTGGCCCACATGTCTTGTGACCCCCCACACACACTCGTGCGCGCGGTGGTCCACATGTCTTGTGACCCACCCCCCCACACACTCTCTCGTGCGGGCAGTGGTCCACATGTCTTGTGACCCCCCCCCCCTCACACACTCGTGCGTGCGGTGGTCCACATGTCTTGTGACCCCCCACACACACTCTCTCGTGAGGGCGGTGGTCCACATATCTTGTGACCCCCCCCACCACACTCGTGCGGGCAGTGGTCCACATGTCCTGTGACCCCCCCCCCCCCACACTCGTGCGGGCAGTGGTCCACATGTCTTGTGACCCCCCTCCCTCACACACTCGTGCGGGCGGTGGTCCACATGTCTTGTGACCCCCCAACCCACACCAACAAACACACTCGGGCGGTGGTCCACATGTTTTGTGACCCCCCCCCCACACACTCGTGCGTGCCGGTGGTCCACATGTCTTGTGACCCCCCACACCAACACACACACTCGGGCGGTGGTCCACATGTCTTGTGACCCCCACACACACTCTTGCGCGCGGTGGTCCACATGTCTTGTGATCTCCCCCCCCCCACACCAACACACACACTCGGGCGGTGGTCCACATGTCTTGTGACCCCCCACACACACTCGTGCGCGCGGTGGCCCACATGTCTTGTGACCCCCCCCCCCCACACACTCTCTCGTGAGGGCGGTGGTCCACATGTCTTGTGACCCCCCCCCACACACACTCGTGCGTGCGGTGGTCCACATGTCTTGTGATCCCCCCCCCCCAACACACCAAAACACACTCTCGTGAGGGTGAGGGTCCACATATCTTGTGACCCCCCCACACTCGTGCGGGCAGTGGTCCACATGTCTTGTGACCGCCCCCCCCCCCCCTCACACACTCGTGCGGGCGGTGGTCCACATGTCTTGTGGCCCCCCAACCCACACCAACACACACACTCGGGCGGTGGTCCACATGTTTTGTAACCCCCCCCCCCCCCCACACACTCTCTCGTGAGGGCGGTGGTCCACATGTCTTGTGACCCCCCCCCCACACACACTCGTGCGTGCGGTGGTCCACATGTCTTGTGATCCCCCCCCCCAACACACCAAAACACACTCTCGTGAGGGTGAGGGTCCACATATCTTGTCACCCCCCCCCCCCACACTCGTGCGGGCAGTGGTCCACATGTCTTGTGACCGCCCCCCCCCCCCTCACACACTCGTGCGGGCGGTGGTCCACATGTCTTGTGGCCCCCCAACCCACACCAACACACACACTCGGGCGGTGGTCCACATGTTTTGTAACCCCCCCCACACACTCGTGCGTGCGGTGGTCCACATGTCTTGTGACCACCCACACACACTCTCTCGTGAGCGCGGTGGTCCACATGTCTTGTGATCTCCCCCCCCCCCCACACCAACACACACACTCGGGCGGTGGTCCACATGTCTTATGACCCCCCACACACACTCGTGCGCGCGGTGGTCCACATGTCTTGTGACCCCCCCCCACACACTCTCTCGTGAGGGCGGTGGTCCACATGTCTTATGACCCCCCCCCCACTCACTCGTGCGTGCGGTGGTCCACATGTCTTGTGACCCCCCCCCCCCCCACACTCGTGCGGGCAGTGGTCCACATGTCTTGTGACCCCCCCTCACACTCGTGCGGGCAGTGGTCCACATATCTTGTGACCCCCCCCCCCCACACACTCTCTCGTGAGGGCGGTGGTCCACATGTCTTGTGACCGCCCCCCCACACATTCGTGCGTGCGGTGGTCCACATGTCTTGTCACCCCCCCCTACACACTCTCTCGAGAGGGCGGTGGTCCACATATCTTGTGACCCCCCCCTAACACACACACAATCGTGCGGGCGGTGATCCAGATGTCTTGTAATCCCTCCCCAACACACCAAAACACACTCTCGTGAGGGTGAGGGTCCACATATCTTGTGACCCCCCCCCCACACACACACTCGTGCATGCGGTGGTCCACATGTCTTGTGACCCCCCCCCCACACTCGTGCGGGCAGTGGTACACATGTCTTGTGACCCCCCCCCCCTCACACACTCGTGCGGACGGTGGTCCACATGTCGTGTGACCCCCCAACGCACACCAACACACACACTCGGGCGGTGGTCCACATGTCTTGTGACACCCCCCACCCACACCAACACACACACTCCGGCGTTGGTCCACATGTCTTGTGACCCCCCACACACACTCGTGCGGGCGGTGGTCCACATGTCTTGTGACCCCCCAACCCACACCAACACACACACTCGGGCGGTGGTCCACATGTTTTGTGACCTCCCCCGCCACACACTCGTGCGTGCCGGTGGTCCACATGTCTTGTGACCCCCCCCCCCCCCCCCACACACACAGTATTGATCCAAAGTGGAGAGAGAGAACGCAAAACGGTGGTCAACGTCCACCGTTTAAAACCATGGAGAGCAGCTCCGGTGGAGGAGATCCCCGCCGCCGGAGTACCGTGAACCCACGGGACCCCCACACCACCCGGGCTCGAGGGCCTCGCGCACTACATGGGCCCCGCCGGACCCCCAGCCCCGACCGCCAGGTGATGGCGGGGACGACGGCCCCTAAACCCTTCTGCTTCTGAGTTTGTACCCCTGCCTGCAGGTACCGAGGGACAGAGAGAGCCTTTGGAGTGGAGGAGAAGGCCACCGCAGGAGCGACAGAGGACGGAGCCACCCACCCCGAGACCAGCCACGAGGTCTGGACGGACCCCTCGGACCCCGCAGCGTTTCCTCGTGAGCGCGGCCCAAGCAAGGTGGCTCCAGTCAACCCGAGATGGGGACCAGCACCTCGGGGGGCTATTTGATGCCGCCGCCACGAAGCCGCTCGGCGGGCACCCCATCCCTGACCTCGCCACCACCAAGTGACGAAGCCGACCCCTGCGTCCCCCCACCTCACCTCACATGAACACACCCGCACGCATTTGCCCCCCCATAGAACTCCGAGGGGAAGTCACCTGGCTGACCGGTTTTAATCCGAGAAGCCCTTATCGGGATAACTTTCATGGTTTCCGGTGACCAGGGAATTGGACGACCTCCCCCGATGCTACTTCGCGGCGCTGCGACCGGCATTATGATTGCAAGGTCGCGGCGAGGGGCCACTCGGCCACTGCGTTTGAAACGCACCCCCCACACCCACGCACGTATCGACGAGGCAGGCAGGGGAGGGACGGAACGGCATGATTAGTACGACCGCAGGGGCTCTTGCGCGTAGTCGCTGATGGTTAGGATAATTACGCTTGAGCGCGTAGGCACCATTATTAGGGAAATTAGGGAAGTTGGAGAGTAAAGGCTGAAATTACGAATAATCAGAGGTATGCGGAGGCCCGTGCATGAATTCCCACGGTAAGCCTTTGTGATGGATGCCGCTGCATAATTGGCATGACAAAGGCATGCATCGGCGCAGTCAAGCCGACCACCCATTGTGATGGGGAGGCATGAGAATGGAGCTGATTATAATATGCGCCTCGCATAAACGCGGGAAGGAGCAAAGAGTGCTGGGGGAGGCGGAGCCCTGGGACGGGGAGATAGGATAAAAGCAAGGTAGAGGGGATCTCACTCCAAGAAGCCAGCGATCAAGGCGGCTCCCAGCTCTGCCCTCCGGACGTCCGTGCGACGTGCCCAGACGAGCAGCGAGGAGAATCCATGGAACACCGGATACTTCAAACCGTGAGTAAGAAGGTGAATTAGTATCATAAGCCAATAAATAGGGAATAGGTCCAGGGATAGTAGAATAGGCCAGCCTCGTCGATTCATACTGATTTAACATCAATTCCCAGGTAGCCGAAAATAAATCATTAATAGCTGATCGTGGCCTCGTGTGATCTCGCTGAGAAGTCTGAACGCGTGTGGTGCTGTGTATACAGCGGCTCGCCTCGTGGGAGCGCTGTTAAATCAGTATGAATCGACGAGGCTGGCCTATTTTACTACCCCTGGACCTATTCCCTATTTATCGGGTTATGATACTAATTCACCTTCTTACTCACGATTCGAAGTATTCGGTGTCCCGTGGATTCTCCTCGCTGCTCGTCTGGGCACGTCGCACAGACGTCTGGAGGGCAGAGCTGGGAGCCGCCTTGATTGCTGGCTTCTTGGAGTGAGATCCCCTCTTCCTTGCTACGATCCCTTTTATCCTCTCTCCCGGACTCAGGCCTCCGCCTCCCCGAGCACTCTTCGCTCCCTCCCCCGTTCATGCGCGGCGCATATGCTAATCAATCCCTTTCTCATGCATGGTGCCTTGGTTATGCGAATTATGCGGTGGCGTCCATCACAAAGACCTGCCGTGGGAATTTATGCACGGACCTCCGCATACCTCCCCTTATTTGTAATTCCAGCCTTTACTCTTTAAATTCCCTAATTTCCCTAATAATGGTGCCTACGCGATCAAGCGTAATAATCCTAACCATCAGAGCCCCTGCGGTCATGCTAATCATGCCGTTCCGTCCCTCCCCTGCCTGCCTCGTCGATACGTGCGTGGGTGTGGGTGGTGCGTTTCAACCGCAGTGGCCGAGTGGCCCCTCGCCGCGACCTTGCAATCTTAATGCCGGTCGCAGCGCCGCGAAGTAGCATCGGGGGAGGTCGTCCAATTCCTTGGTCACCGGAAACCGTGAAAGGTATCCCGATAAGGGCTTCTCGGATTAAAACCGGTCGGCCAGGTGACTTCCCCTCGGAGCTCTATGGGGGGGGGGGGGGGGATGCGTGCGGGTGTGTTTATGTGAGGTGAGGTGGGGGGACGTGGGGGTCGGCTCCATCACTTGGTGGTGGCGAGGTCGGGGATGGGGCACTCCACCGAGTGGCTTCGTGGCGGCGGCATCACATGATCGTAGTGCGCGGCGCTGCTGCGTGGCTATTTTAGTACCATCCCTCTCCATCAGCCTCCAATGAGAAACGCGGACGTGATGTTCACTTTAATATCGTTTTTTACTGCAAAAAGGACTTGTGAATATAACACAATGTAATGTCTAAACATGTATATTAGTGAATTGCAGCCATGGCATTGCCTTTGTTTTAAAAAGGATGACTAGAAAACCCAATACAGTAGTACTGCAAAAAGGACTTGTGAATATAACACAATGTAATGTCTAAACATGTATATTAGTGAATTGCAGCCATGGCATTGCCTTTGTTTTAAAAGGATGACTAGAAAACCCAATACAATAGTACATTGTGTGTGTTTTGCGCGTGGGTTTTTTTGTTTCTTACGAGGGATTGTTTCACAACTCGTCTAATACAGCACAAGCGCTCGGTGGAGAAAAATAACTTCGCTGTTGTGCTGTATTTTACAGGTGGAGATTATCATTCCGGCGCGCTACGTCAATTAGGACGAGTGTTCAGTAAGATTGTGGCGCCAAATGCTCTACGTAATATCGGAATCAGCTGCAGCTGGAAATAATTCACGCAAAAATACCAGAAATGGGTACTGTATTAACGCGTTCAAGAATTATGCCTTGTTAAATGTGACGTGTCGTGAATATCATGATAACTTTCATTCATGTGGAAGCAGATGAAGATTCGCCAACTCAACAAGCAAACGTCCACCACGCTCACAAGGAATTGGCGCGCAATAACCCAGGACATGTGCTCCATTTAGAAAGTGTTTGGCAACACTGGCACAAGCAGTTTCGAAGAGGTGGGTGGCTCTGAAAAGAGCCTTTGGGTTGGCTTAGTGTGCGAGAGATTGGCGCTCAGTCTCCAAAGCCGTAGAGTGTGCGGCCCTGGCGCTTGAGGGCGTAGACCACGTCCATGGCGGTGACAGTCTTGCGCTTGGCGTGCTCCGTGTAGGTGACGGCGTCGCGGATGACGTTCTCAAGGAAGACCTTCAGGATGCCGCGGGTCTCCTTGTAGATGAGGCCCGAGATGCGCTTCACACCGCCTCGGCGAGCGAGGCGGCGGATGGCGGGCTTGGTGATGCCCTGGATGTTGTCGCGCAGCACCTTGCGATGGCGTTTTGCGCCTCCCTTGCCGAGCCCCTTACCGCCTTTACCACGTCCAGACATTCCGACTACTCCTGACAAAGCTCGCTAGAGACTGCGAGCGCAGCCGGCAGCAGGAGCCGCCTTTATACCCGGAGCGTGGTGGGCTCTCTTGCCCGTCCCCTTACCGCGATGGCGAGCTCCTCCTCCTCTTCCTCGTCTGGGAGTAGGCTCGCTATGGCATCATCCCGTCCCCACCCTCGGAACTGTGTGCGTTCACCAGAGAGTCTCTCGCATGCACGCGCACGCTCGACAAGGGTGTCAAAGGGAAGGTATGCAGGGTCTACATTGGGCTCCCACCACGAGGTGCGAGCCAAATACTGCTTGATCCTCTGGGCGGCGAGATCCTCAATTATCTCTGTCGCGTACCCTGGGTGTGCGATCTGTGTTAGCGAGTGAACGTCCTCAGCATAATCGTGAAAGTCTTCGCCGGGCTGGCGGTGGCGCGTCTCTAAGGCCGCCTGCTCCTCCTCATTACTCACGCCGAAGCGCAGGTCGAGTCGGCGTATTACTTCCTCCCACTGTGTTTGTGTACTCACGGGTAAAGCTTCCATAAAGTCGGCTACCCGTCCATCCAAATGCATAGTAAGCTGCTCTAATGCCTCCGCGTCTGTCCAGCCATTAAAATTCTTAGCACCTGTGATGTTGTGGGCGAACGACTTCCATGAAGGAATACCTCGGCCGGTGAACACACATCTCACCTTAGCTTGGGGTGGGGCGCCTCTTTCCCTTGGAGATGCGGGGGATCGTACCACTTCTGACACCAAGTTGTTGGGGCCGCTAGCCCCCGAGGCCTCTCCTTCCTGGGCGCCGGCTGTAGGGGTCCCGCCGTCTCCCGATCCCTCGCTGGTGTGCGAACAGCTGCTGCCTCCGCTGGGCTCATCGCTCGTGGGATAAGGGCTGTCACCCGTCGGCTCCCCTCCTTGGGTCACACCCCCGCGAGTTTCTCGAGAGGGGCATGACTCGTCGCCGGTTCACGGTCGCCTGTAAACATTTCGTTGCCTCTCCACCAATCAAACGCGACACCTCCCCTCACACAGCCCCGCACAGCAATCAAACGCTCTGAACGGGGGGTCAGGGGTTGGAGGGCGAATGACGTTGCTCGCGTCTGCGTTGCCGATTGGGGTTTTCGTTACGGGGGGTTTAAAGGACTGTGAGACGGGCGTTCGCAAGGGGGGTTAGTCCATACGCAAGAGGGAGCGCACACCCATGGAGCACTGACCACGCACTCTGTGAACGTATGTACACACAGCACCACGCGCTTTCACATGCTCGTCGAAACCACACGAGGCTGCGATTACCGGCCTACACTATCGCCCGAGGGTCTGTACCCGATTAATCTAATTTGATGGGCTCTAGGCGGTTGTGGTTTCTTTAGACTCCATCCCAATACTCTCTTTCCTCTTACTCACAGTTCGATGCGTACGGTGCTCCAGTGGTCTCGTCCTCTCCGCACACTTCGACGCATCGCACGGACGTTCGAGTGGCCGAACTGGGGACCGTCCGGGGCTCTGACTTTAGGAGTAAGAGAGCTTTTACCTTTCTGCGCCCCGCTTTTTATGGCTAACTCACATCAAAGAAAGCCGCCGCTGAGCCGAGGGCCCTCTCGGCCAATCAGATCGCTGTGCTTGCTCCGCCGCACTCGCGCTCTGCATCGCCGTCCACAGCCTGGTTTCCATAACAAAGGGCCCGTCGCTGGCTGCTGCGCTGGCAGCGGTCCACAAGCACATTTGCTATGCTAATCAGCCGCCCACCCTGGTTTCCCCGCCGTTCGTGGCTGCGCCCCCCCTACCTGCCTTGCCGATCCATGTGGGGGTGGGTTTTAACCGTGGTGGCTGGACAGTCCCAGCCGTGACCATGTAATCTCAACGCAAGTCACGGCGCCGTAGTGCAAGTTAGCATCGGGGGAAATCGCCCAATTCCCTGGCCGCAGGAAACCGTGAAGATTATCCCTATGAGGGCTTCCGGGTGAAAACCTGCCGGCCAGGTGACCTCCCCTCGGAGATCTATGGGGGGGAGAAATGTGTAAAGGTGTGTTTATGTGGGGGGCGGTGAGGAGAAGCAGGGTCGGCCCCGTCGCTTGGTGGTGGCGAGGTCGTAGATGGGGCGCCCGCCGAGCGGCTTCGCGGTGGCGGCATCACAGTGACATGATGTCACTCACTAATCCTCAACAAATGTATAACTGCAGGTTAAATCCGATGAGCTAAAAATATATTTTTTCACAGATGTCCAGTAGAGGGCATGGAGTAAGAACGTCACAATTGTAGTGCTCGACTTGACACGACAGCTTCTTGTCTTTCCTCTTTCACTTTATTTCGCGTATACCGATCAACACTCCTCCAGCTAACACCGATCAACATTTCTCCTCCGCGCTCTCCACTCGCTCGCCGCGTTTCGCCGGCCTCACTCGCTCCTCTCCACTCTCTCCGCCACAGTTCAGCCGCTCTTTATCGGCTCCGTCGTCACACTCAGTCGTAACTCTATCAGCTTTTCTTCCCACTATTCAGCTGCTTTCTACTGGCTTCGTTGTCTCACTGCTACCCTACACTTTTCCACTGCTACCTTACACTTCTTTACTGCTATTAGCTCTGCTGCTTCGACTCCTACATCCTCTGTCTCCTCCCAGGCGCGAACTCCCGTCTCCTCCAAAACCCCTCTCTTTATCCCCAAGCCAATTAATCTTCAATTAATCTGTGGCATCCCCCGCGACGCCACTCGCCCCCAGCCCCCACTGGCACCTGGCATGTTTTTCCCCGACAATGCGGCGCCACTCAGCGACAACAACAACCTCTCGGCCAATCAGCGCCCTGCGTCCTTAATTACTCCCTGCTACCTGCTACCGTCCTCAGACAGCGCGGCCCCACATCTCGACAACAACAACAACCAGCCAATCAGCGCCCCTTGTCCTTATTTGCTCCCTACTCATCTCCGGCTCTATTCTCACGCCAAGCAACAGCAACACCTCGATCTCGTTTGTACGCTGTGCGCGCGTACACCGACTTCAGCGTGTGACGCGTACTTCAGGCACTACACAGTGACAAACACATACATACAAACACAACTAAACCATCTTCCCATCCTACCAGGCAAAGCCCGCTGAGGCATTCACTTATTTTTCAAAAGTGACTTGGCCACAAATTGGCGGTAAACCAGTGGCCAGGTCGCTTTTGAACAATGGGTTTTGAACAACAAATCACCCAAACACTTACAAAACAAAACTAAACCATCCCCCCATCTTCTTGGTTCTTTCGGTAAAGTCACGTAGTAGGGAAGTAATAAAATAATAAAAATAAAACATAATAAAATAATTCTCACGACGTTTCGGCCACAACGCAAGCAGCCGTCCTCAGGTGAAGAACATGTCTGTCGATAAGACAGAGTCTAAATGACACGTCTTAGGCTTGGAGTGTCTATTTAAGCTGTGAGGGAGGAGGAAGAGAGCCTTGACAAAAGAATTTGCATTTGAAGAGGAATTTAGCATATTTATGGGAAATGCAGGAATGCGAATAGTGCTAATTGTGAAATGCGTGGGAGGTGGGCGGGGGCTTTTCAAAGTCATATTATGCCCATGTATTATGTAGGATTGCTAATCCTACATAATGCATGGGCATAATATGACTTTTATGTAGGATTGCTAATCCTACATAATGCATGGGCATAATATGACTTTGAAAACCCCCCGTCCACCTCCCACACATTTCACAATTAGCACTATTCGCATTCCTGCATTTCCCATAAATATGCTAAATTCCTCTTCAAATGCCAATTCTTTTGTCTAGGCTCTCTTCCTCCTCCCTCACAGCTTAAATAGATACTCCAAGCCTAAGACGTGTCATTTAGACTCTGTCTTATCGACAGACATGTTCTTCACCTGAGGATGGCTGCTTGCGTTGTGGCCGAAACGTCGTGATAATTATTTTATTATGTTTTATTTTTATTATTTTATTACTTCCCTACTACGTGACTTTACCGAAAGAACCAAGAAGATGAATCCCTGCAGTCACGAAAGCTTTAAATCGAAACATCCCCCCATCCTACCGGGTAAAGCCCGCCGAGGCATTCACTTATTTTTCAGAAGTGACTTGGCCACAAATTGGCAGTAAACCGGTAGCCAGGTCGCTTTTGAACAATGGGCTTTGCCTCATAGGATGGGGATGGTTTAGTTTTGTTTGTATGTGTCTGGGTGATTTTTTTACCTTTCTTGTACTTTGCACTACTATCGTGTTTGTGTACTGTTTGTTGTTGTAACGTTCTTACCCAGTGTCCCGACTGGACGTCTGTAAAAAAGAGCTTTATAGCCATCGGATTTCTCCAGCAGTTATAAATACATTGATTCTATTAACATTCAAAATATCTAGGAGGCTGAACCGTGACACATAGGGAGGCGACAAAAGACTTGATTCACAGTCACTACCATCACTTGATCGCCTTAAATCTCACTCCTTCCAAGTGAATTCCTGCCAAGCTGCCACTGCATAAACAAATAGATTTCGTGAACATCTTTAACCTGCAAGTGACCTCATGTTTTTTTAATGCCCTTTTGCGCTATGTTTCGTTATGTATAGATGCTTCATTATTTGACTCGGTGCAATATCGTGACTGTTTTAATTTATTCCTGCAACTTGAGATTTGATGTTTCTCAGAGAAGCCATCTCACCATTTGCGATTTGACGCCCTATTCGTAATGCGTTCTTTAAATCACAATCCTCACTCTAGTTCGACATTTTCAAAGATAATGTTCTAATGTACTCCACATTATGTGATTTGTCATCATTAGTTTTTTTCACTTCACAATGTATATTTTTTTGTAATCTCTTATATTCTTACGACCCTGCTGCTATGCATCGCTCTATGTTCGCCAGGGGGAAACCCGTGACAGTCCCTCCATGCCCTAATTAACATAACCATGCCCACACGGCGGTGAAGTGGTTTGGGATTGGCTCTCTCTCTCTGACACTGGACCCCCCGCCTACTTCTCTAATAGTCCCGCCCACCACGTGGGGTTGCTCCTCCCTGACTATTCGGGTGAGCCCCGCCCACGGGTGGGCCCCGAATGGGCCCCGGGTGGGTCCCGGTTGCCCCCCCACCCCACCCACTGCCTATAGCAGCTCACCCACACTTCTGGCTGCATGATGAGTCGAGTAGGATGCCAGAAAATGTAAAACTTGTGGGGAGCGGGAGAAATAAATAAATCAAGAGGTGGGGTGAGTGGATGAGGAAACACTGGGATGGGCTTTCTGAAGCCACCCAGGGGAACCGTTCAGGCCAAACCAGGACGTATGGGTAGCCTTAAAGTCTGATCCAAAAAGCGGTCCAATCCGAGAGAGGTCCAAGCCGAAGGAAGGGGGGGGGGGGGGGGCAGGATGTAGGGTTAGGGTACATAGGTGAGGTCCCAATGGTGGGGTCAGAGTAGGTGGGGTCAGAGTAGGTGGGGTCAGAGTAGGTGGGGTCAGAGTAGGTGGGGTCAGTGCAGGTGGGGTCAGTGCAGGTGGGGTCAGTGCAGGTGGGGTCAGAGTAGGTGGGGTCAGTGCAGGTCGGGGCCTGGCCGTCGTTACTCCAGGCTAATGTAGTCGATCCCGGGTGTGAGCAGGGGCCCTGGGGTCCACGTGCTCGGGGCAGAGGCGGGGGCTGAGGGGAGCAGGCACTGGGCCCCCGGTGGCCCCGGCGGCGCCTGTGGGAACAACCAAGTCCCCCATTTAATCAACCGGAGGAGACCATTGCTGAAGCAGGGGGACTCCTCGTTCAACAATCGACTCTTTATTAATCCGCGTAGCTCTTGAACAGGTGGTTCTTTATTTCATCGCGAGTCTGTTTAACCACGAGTGCCTGTTATAACCACTACGGTCATTTAGTTAACCAAACGTCAAAATGTAACTCCCAAATTACTTGATTTTGGGAAACACACGGAAATCGTTCCCCGCTACTGCCCAAACATGGCATGACCCCGTTGAACAGGACTCATTGAAGATTTCCTGGGTACACAAGTGGTAATTGTAATAATACAGCGAGCGAGCCGTGTATTTAACCAGGGAGAGTGTGATGCCGCCGCCACAGAGCCGTTCAGCAGGCGCCCCATCTACGACCTCGCCACCACCAAGCGACGGAGCCGACCCCGCGTCCCCCTCACCTCACCTCACATGAACACACCCGCACGCATTCCCCCCCCCCCCCCCCCACCATAGAGCTGAGGGGAGGCCACCTGACCGACCGGTTTTTATCCGAGAAGCCCTTATCGGGATTAACTTTCACGGTTTCCGGCGACCAGGGAATTGGACGACCTCCCCCAACGCTACTTTGCACCGCGGCGCTGCGACCGGCCTTAAGATGGTATGGTCGCGGCGAAGGGCATTCGGCCACCGCAGTTGAAACGCATCCCCCCACACACACCCCCACGGGTCGACGAGACAGGCAGAGGAGGGACGGGGCGGCATAGTTTAGCGTGCCAAAGCGGGCTCGAGTGCGTAGGTGCCATCATTAGGGAAGGTAAAGGATAGGGCGGGAATGGCAAATAATCAAAGAGGCGACTCGGGCGCATAGTGCGCAATTGATGGGGCAGGTGGTGGAGACATGCGGAGGCTCTGCGCTTAACTTCCACAGCAGCCCGTGGTGATGGACGCTGCTGCATAATGCGCAAGACCAAGGCGCCATGCATGAGAAAGGGATTAATTAGAATAAACGCCGCAACACGCAGCGCATCTGATTAGCATAGCAATGGCGCCCGGAACCGCCGTACACGTGCTGACGGGCGCGCGCCCATTGTTAAAGAAAAACTAGGAGGGGGCCGCCACCACGCTCGGAGCCGCATCCCTTTGATGTAGGGAGGATAAAAAGGGGGCGCAAAGGGGAGATCGCGCTCTTACTCCAGCACCAGGCGACAAGACACTCGCCAGCCCAGCGACCCGAACGTCCGTGAGATGCATCGAGGTACGCTGCGAGTACGGGATCAACGGACCGCCGTGGGCACCTAACAGTGAGTAAGGAGGTGAAGTAGGATCATAGCCGATAAATAGGGAATAGGTCCAGGGGTAGTAGAATAGGCCAGCCTCGTCGATTCATACTGATTTAACATCAATTCCCAGATAGCAGACAATGAATCAGTAATATCTGATCGTGGTCTCGTGTGATCTCGTTGAGCAGTGTGTCGTGTGTGGAGCTGCGTGTGTACGCGTGCATTCACTCCGTGTGCGATACAGGTGCGCGATCATAACGTGAGTAGTCAGTGTTGAGTTGGAGTGCACGGAGCTGCGTGTGTGTGTGTGGGTGTGCGTACGCTCGCTCCGTGTGGGTTGCAGGTGCGCGATTAGGAAAGGGAGGTATCGTGGTAGCGTGAAGAGGGGCATAATACTACTCGGTAACTAACCATGCCTACTACGCGGACCCGCGGTGGAGGGGAATCCTCGAGCGACGGCTCCCACACCATGGGTGAGGAACCCAGCAGCGGTTCGCATAGCAGCGGGGGGGCGAGTAATGATGTTAGCCCGGCCGTTAGCATTATGGAGGGAGGGATCTCGGGGGCCAGCGACCCCAACAAGAGCCCCTTGAGATTAATGGTCTATTGTAAAGGAGAGCTGGGACAGCCAGAGTACCGATGGGAGGTTCATCACCGTGGGAGACCTGGTCCCGCACCTCCGAAGAGCACGGTTAGTAACGGGCGGTGTGAAAGAAGTTGAACGTACATATAAATAATATAATATCGTACTCAGATTTTAAATGTTATGGCTTGGCTCTGCAACACACCGGTGTGCTGTACTAGTAACGATTTGGCATGTTCTGTTAACGTGACAAACATTACTAATTGGCTGTGTCGGGTGGTGGTGCGTTTAACGACACATTTATATATTTATGCAATCTAACCCAAAAAACCTATATTATGGATATAAAGAATATAAGTCCATATAAACTATGTATTTATTTGATTTGACTAGGTAAAGCCCCACTGAGCTAAATAGCCTATTTTCAGAATCGACCTGGCCATAAATGATAGCTCAACTAAAGTAGATTATCGTCATGTGGAAATGTATGGCATCAAATAATTAAAACGCCTGACGTTGATTTTCTATCGATTGGGGTCAACCCTCACACAGCGACATAATAGCCACCACGCTCCCGGAGCCGTGGCGTCGAGGGGGATCAGAATTCCGCTCGACCCCCTCACCTCGGCAGGGGTCCCGGGATCAGGGTCGCATTGGGCCGGGTCTGGGTCGAGTTGGGTCTGCTCCGGGTCTGGGCTGGTCACCACCACCACGAGCGGCTGGGCCTCCAGGACGGCCACCTTGCCCGTCATAGTGCCCATGCTCCCGCCCTGCGGGGGATTAAGGTCGCAGTCAGGGTCTGGGTTAGACTGCAGTTCAGGGTGCGGCCGTGTCAGCTGTTATTGTGAGGGATATGGGAGTTGGCCTTCAGTGCATGGAAGATTAGAGATCACACAAGGCAGCTCGCTCAGACACTCCACTGGTCAATCAACCACTCACTCCATCAACCACTTAACCACTTTACCACCCCCTCCACCAGTCACTCAATCATTTACTCCACTGCTCGCTCAGCCACTCCACCACTCACTCCACCTTGTTGTGCATCGTTCCCTGTGTGGGGGAGTCGATCACCGTCCCCACCTCCTTCAGCAGCCTCCGGACAACCCCTCCCGGGTCCGGAACGGGGGGCCACACAGACCCCCTCAGCCTGAGGTCACGGGGACACATGGTGACGAAGTGGGAGATACGAGGACAAGTGAAGAGATACACGCAGAGAGCATAGGGAACACATTGCACATCCGTTTAAACGACACAGTGGTGCGTAATGACGTGCGTGTGTGGTTACGAGTAGTGAGGGAGTATGTGTGGTGCGAGCGGTTCGTATGGTAATTGTGGTGCGGTGCGCACGGTAAGTGTGCGGTGAGTGATGAGTGTGGTATGAGTGGTGTATGGTGAGCAGTGGAGCGGTCAGCACGGCGTGCTGCAAACCCAGTGACCCGAATTCGATTCCCACTCACGACCAATACCAGTGACGATTATCTGAACCGGTCCTGGGCCTCCCGTAGGTCGACTGGGCCTCAAATGAGTACCTGGTATGGTGTGTAAACATCGCCACTGGGGAAACAAAGGCGACCGGGCGTGGTGCTGGCCAGCGACCCCCTCGTGTGCCATGCCGGCCTTCATATGTGCTCGCCAACAGCACTTGCCCCAAACAGTTTGTTGAAGGCTATTCAGGGTGATCTTTGTCTTTGTTTGACGCTGTGAGTGTGCGAGTGGTGGCGGGTGAGTGCGGTGAGCAGTGTCACTCACCTGCTCCAAAAGATCATGATGAGCGCGGCTCCCAGCATCAAGAAGAAAAACATGACCCCCAGGGCGATCGGAACCGAGAGGTCTCTGGGGTATCTGACCCCTTGCCTGACTGCAGAGCAAGGTAACGTCAAATATCAACCACGCTCACCACCCAACACATTCGTAATACAGGGTGCTTCAAAAATGTTTTAACACTTATATGGGACTATCGTTTTTAATGAGTGCCTGAATAAGCTAGTGCGGGGCCTGTAGCATATGTTATAAAGGGGCCCTAAAATAAAACAAAAACACATAAATATAAAAACACTAATTTATAACTTGCATAGTAAAGTAATTGTATTTATTCATTTGCTACACAGCCAGATAATACGAAAATTCGTTAACCTTAAACACCCAGTCGTTCATAAATGTTGAAGGCAGTATAGTACTATAGTAATAGAGCAAGTGAAGAATCCCTGAACCGAATTTGATAGCTTGAAAGCATTTAGCACGGGGCCCTTGAAAGTGCGGGGCCCATAGCATATGCTACTTTTGCTACTAGGATAATCCGGCACTGTTTTTAATGGAATAAAATATAAAAAAAATACTTTTTTTTAAAACACGCTTTAATGAAATGTACTTTCCGAGCTGCCCCTGCCCCCTTCCCCCATCGCCCCTCCCCTCCTTCCACATCCCCCGCCCCTGGGCGTGGCTCCCCGAGGCTTGCCGTGACGTAAGGGACCGTGGTGATTTACAGGCAACGTCAGTTGAGCGTGGACAATTAGAGTCGTTAAAGAGATCGTTTAAACATATACATTTTTTCTTTTCAATGATAGAATATAGTATTGTCATCAGTATGACATATCTATACGAAGTTTTGCCATCGATACGACATTGGGAATACGGTTGAAATTGAGTTACAAGATTTTTGGATACAACACATATAGTACGTTAAATAAAAGCGTGTAAAAAGTTATAAAAGATATGTTTTGGATTTTTTATGATAGAATATCCTGTTGTCATCAGTATGACATAGCTATACGAAGTTTGCAGTCGATAGCACATTGGGAAGTGTGTAAAAATTTAGTTACAATATTTCTTTTTTGAGGATACAACAGACGAAGTGACTTAAATAATAGCGTGTAAAAAGAACAGACAATAATACTGTAACGTGATAACAAATGTATGTTAATAGCTTCACAAAGTCCGCGAAGCTGCTCTGCGGGCGCCCCATCTACGACCTCGCCACCACCAAGTGAGGGGGCCGACACTGCTTCTGTGATGCCGCCACCACGAAGCCGCTCGGCGGGCGCCCCATCTACGACTTCGCCACCACCAAGCGACGGAGCCAACCCGCTTCCCCCTCACCTCACCTCACATAAACACACCCGCACGCAATTCCCCCCCCCCCATAGAGCTCCGAGGGGAGGTCACCTGGCTGACCGGTTTTCACCCGAGAAGCCCTTACCGGGATAATCTTCACGGTTTCCTGCGGCCAGGGAATTGGACGACCTCCCCCGATGCTAAATCGCGCCACTCGGCCACCGCGGTTGAAACATACTCCACACACACGCGTATCGGCGAGGCAGGCAGACACCGCAACCACGAGCTAAGGGGAAGCCAGAGAGGGGGGAGGGCGGCTGAGTGGCGTGACGGTGTGCTCGGGAAGCGCCATGGCGCGCCGCAACACGCAGCGCATCTTATTAGCATAACAAAGGCGCCCCGGAACCGCCGCACGCGCCCTGACTGGCGCGCGCCCATTGTTAAAGAAAAACTGGGAGTGCATAACAACAGGTGGGGCGGCATTTCTTTGATGTAGGGACGATAAAAGGGGGGTGCAAACGGGTAGATGGTCTCTTGCTCCAGAATCAGGCCACGAGACGCTCTCCAGCCCAGCGACTCGGACGTCCGTGCGACGCATCGAGGTACGCAGTGAGGACAGGATCAGCAGAACGCCGTGGGCACCTAATCGTGAGTAAGTGGAAAGGGGGTATTAGGAAAGAAACTAGAGAGTCCAGAGCCGCCTAGAACATATCCCTCCGATAGATTGGGTACAGACCCAGGGACGATAACGTAGGCCTGCCACGCCGATCGATACCGACCCAACGGTAAAGCATAGTCGCCGAGAATAAACCATTAATAACTCAGCGCAGCCTCGAGTGGTCTTATGAGTGAGTGAAGCGCGTGGTGCTGTGTGCAGGTGTGTGCGCTCGTAGTGTGGGGGGGGGGGGAGGGTCGGTGCGTCCACAGGTACCCGCTCCGTCTATCGCCGCAGGAACTCACACGGTGTGAGGGCAGCGTCATTCGCCCTCCGACCCCTGACCCCCGTTCAGAGCGTGTGATTGGTGGAGAGACAACGCAGCGTTTACAGGTGAATGAGAGCGGGCGGCGAGCTATGCCTCTCACACGAGCTCACGGAGGGGCGGACCAGGGAGGGGAGCCGTCGGGCGATGAGCCCAGCGACGGCAGCAGCTGGTCGCAGACCAGCGAGGGGTCGGCAAATGGCGGAGCCCCTGCCATCGGCACGCAGCAGGGAGGGACCTCGGGGACTTGCGGCCCCAACACTTCCCCCTCACCACCCCCCACATAAACACACCCTCACATATTTGTTGTATTTATGCGCCTTTTTCAAAAAATTCAAATTAAGAATAATTAGGCCAAAAATATATATATATTTTTTTATAAAATAATGAAAACAACCCACTACTCGTCACATTCCACGCCAGGCATCTGGAAAACGTGGAATGCCATCAAAAACAGCAAACGTCAGGACCTCCCCGCCACCTTTGTCTTACAAGGGTTCGGCACAAACAGGCCAGCCATCAAATCCGGAGAGGGGTCTGGCCTCGGCATGACCCACGCAGGGGGAGCAAGGGAGTTAGAGGGTCGCGAAAAGGGTTTATGACCTGACATTCCGGGGGACGTCTGTTTTTCTGTTGTTGTTTCTCTCGCAAGAGATGCGCAGAGGGGAGGGGTTCACGTTTTTTTAGTTTTAAGCAACGCACAGAAGTCCGAGTGCAGTCTGGTTCGAGTCTTGCTCAGTCTTGTGACTCGGCTTGCGATGCAGCGTTGCGAGGGAGGCTCGCAAGGGAGTGGGGGCGCATCGTGCCTCGAGGAGAGATGGGAGGAGGAGGGGTCGTTAGAGTCGCAGAAGTCTGAGTTCAGCCTGGGTCGAGGCTGGGTTTCAGCCGTGCTCTGGCTGGCGGTGCCGTCGTGAGGGAGCAAACACCGATACCGATGGCCGGTGTCGCTTCTCGCAGAACGAAGTAGCGAGGTGTGGTTAAGTGCGAGTGAAGCTTGCGAAATTCCAGTTATCATTCTCGAGCCAGCGAAGACACCCAACGTCAACCCAACGTCAACCCAGCAACGAACGAGAGCATCGTTCATCGCCAGAGCGCTCCAAGCCGGTGAGCGCGCACAGCCGCGTCGTCCAGAGCCTGAGCCAACGCATCCCTGAAGTAAGGGCGGGTGTCCGTGTGAAGCTGGCAGCGATCAAGGAGAGAGCACGGAGAAAATGAGAGAGAGAGAACGGAGCAGTGGAAAGAGCCGGATCGGCCGCCCGTGAGGAAGAGGAGAGCGCCATCGAATGCGCCGTGTGTTTAATATACACACATATCGACCAGCACCCGCTGAGAACAGAGAAGACGTTCAGCGGTGGCGGAGCTGCGTGCTATCCGACGACGGAATCATCGCGCACCACGACGGCGAGCGTCGTGCCGACGCCACTCATCTAGCAGTGGAGAGAGAGAGAGCGCACGAGCAGCACGACCCGGGCGTCACCGAGCGTCGTGCCAACTCGTCATCCAGCAGCGGAGGAACTGCGCGCTATCCGACGACGGAATCATCGCGCGCCATGACGGCGAGCGTTGTGCCGACGCCACTCATCTAGCAGTGGAGAGAGAGAGAGAGAGCGCACGAGCAGAGACACGCCCAAGCGAGGGAGCAGGACGGGCTCGCTGCGGCCATGCCCAAGCGAGAGAGAACCTCTCTGGCCGCTGGTTGTATCCCCCTCCCCCACCCCACAAGCTCCGACACAGCACCCTGCCTCTGCTTAAAATATTAATTATCAAGGGAACAATACAACGCACACGCAAAACGCACACGAAGAAGACTATTTAAAAAAAGTTATCTTTGTGTTTCAAAAAGGGTTGCCATTTCAAGGTGGTGCGTTCAATATCAACTGATTGTGCAAAGCAGTTGCTGCCGTCGAGTTACATGAATAAGAAGTGTTTTAGTCATTCATTTTCGTTAATTGCATAATCTTGCTCATGAATCTATTGACGTATGGCTTTCGCCTTTGCATATTAGAGTGTCATATGTTTCATCTTCTTGGTTCTTTCGGTAAAGTCACGTAGAAGGGAAGTAATAAAAGAATAAAAATAAAACATAATAAAATAATATTTTATTATGTTTTATTTATATTTTTATTATTTTATTATTAATAAAAATAAAACATTAAAATAATATTTTATTATGTTTTATTTTTATTATTTTATTACTTCCCTTCTACGTGACTTTACCGAAAGAACCAAGAAGATAAATCCCTGCAGTCACGAAAGCTTTAAATCGAAATGTCATATGTTTGTTTAGAATTAAAATTGCTTAAAACAGAAGTATGTTGAGTGTTTCTTTCCAAGTCCATGCAAAACTGTCTTATTTATAAGAACTGTATCCTGCTTTGAGATATGAATTTGGAGACCTAACAATATAAACACACTAAGATAATCAATAAATGTTTAATCAAAAATAATCGTTTTATCCTGATTGATACAACTCTGGATAACGAAGCTAAGCCTAAATATCATAACTACACACATTAACATAATTGCAAGCATTCGCATAAATTAATACGATTATCTCTATAATAATCATAATTTATGCAGATAATTATATGCATTAGCATAATGTAAAAAAAAATGAGTTCATAAAAATTTCATAATCCGACATATACAACACATTTCCCCCCCCCCCCCCCCCATAGAGCTCCGAGGGGAGGTCACCTGACCGACAGGTTTTCACCCAGAAGCCCTCTCATAGGGATAATCTTTACGGTTTTCTGCGGCCAGGGAATTTGGCGATCTCCGCCGATGCTAACTCGCACTGCGGCGCTGTGACTTGGGTTGATATTACATGGTCACGGCGGGGCTACCCAGCCACTGCGGTTAAAATGCACCCCAACACACGGATCGGCAGGCAGGTAGGGGGGCGCAGCCACGAACGGCGGGAAGCCAGGGTGGGCGTCTGATTGGCAGGGCGAATGTGCTTGTGTACAGAGGCCAGCGCAGCAGCCAGCGGCGGGCCCTTTGATATGGAAACTGGGATGTGGGCAGCGACGAGGGCGCCGAGTGCTGCGGCGCAAGACGAGCAATCCGATTGGCCGAGAAGGCCCTCGGATTAGCGACGGTTTTCTTTGATGTGGGTTAACAATAAAAGGGGGACGCAGAAAGGTAAAAGGTCTCTTGCTTCTTGAGTCAGCCACCGGGGCGGTCGTCTCTTCAGGGCAGCTAATCGAACGTCTGTGAGACGAGTCGAAGTGCTGCGAGGACAGGCGCACGGGAGCGGCGAACCATGAGTAAGGGAGAGAGAGAGAGCTGGTATTGAGCGTAATAGCCAAAAAGGCTTTAGTAACAACCGACCAGGGTACAGACCATCGGGAAATAGTGTGAGCCTGCCTTGCCGATTCCTACTGACTCAACAGTGGCTCACAGTCGGCCGGTAATAAAAAGTTAATAACTCACCACAGTCTCGTGTGTATTCTACGAGTGTGTTGAAAGTGAATTGTAGTGTGTGTGCGCTCGCTTTAACGTGTGTGGCTGGGTGCACCGCGTCCCGGTGGAAGAAACGCTGTATCCGAAGGACTCCGCGAAGGCGTGTCTCGTACTGTGGCCCCTATCCTCCGCGCCGCGTGTGTGTGCGTAGGCGTGAACGACGGGTTAACGCGCGAATCTGACCCTCTATTAGGTTATCATTACGCTTGCGCTGCGTTAGCTGCTTAGCGTGTGCCCACGGGAAGCGACGGTAGACTCGCAAGGGTACATGTGAGATAATTCATACGGCTTTGGTTTAGTGTGTGCCCACGGGGGTGTGGGGTGCTGAAAGCGTGTGGTGCAGTGTGTGTGTGATGCCGCCGCCACGAAGCCGTTCGGCAAGCACCCCATCCCCGACCTCGCCACCACCAAGCGACGGAGCCAACCCCTCGTCGCCCTCACCTCACCTTACATGAACACACCCGCACGCATTCCCCCCCCCCCCCATAGAGTTGGAAGGGGAGGACACCTGATCGACCAATTTTTATCCGAGAAACCCTTATCGGGATTAACTCTCACGGTTTCCGGCGATCAGGGAATTGGATGACCTCCCCCGACGCTACGTTGCACCGCGGCGCTGCGACCGGCCTTAAGATGGTGTGGTCGCGGCGAAGGGCATTCGGCCACCACGGTTGAAACGCATCCCCCACACACACCCCCCCCCCCCCCACGCGTCGACGAGGCCAGCAGAGGAAGGATGGGACAGCATGAGTAGCAGAACCGCAGGGGCCCTTGCGCATAGTCACGGAAGGTTGGGGTAGTTGCGCTTGAGCGCGCAGGCACAATTGTTGGGGAGAATAAATGATTGAGCTGAAGGTATGAATAGATCAGGAGAGGGGAGGCGCGCGGGGAGCCCGTGCACAGATTCCCACGGCAAGCCTTTGTGACAAACGCCGCCGCATCAACTGCAATAATGGGGGGCCTGCATGAGAAAGGGATTGATTGGAATTTGCGCCGCGCAGGTCACTCATTGATTAGCATATCAAAAGCGCCCGGAACCGCCGTGCGCGTGCTAGGGGGCGCGAACCAATTGTTAAGGAAAAACTCAGAGCCGCATCTCTTTGATGTAGGGAGGATAAATAGGAGGCGCAAAGGGGAAATCGCTCTCTTCTCTCCAGCGCCAGGCGACAGGACGCTCTCCAGTCCAGCGACCCGAACGTCCGTGAGACGCATCGAGGCACGCTGCGAGTACGGGATCAACGAACCACCGTGGGCATCTAACAGGGAGTAAGAAGGTGAAGTAGGATAATAGCCGATAGATAGGGAATAGGTACAGGTTTAGTGGAACAGGCCAGCCTCGTCGACTCACTGATTTAACATTAAATTACCAGGTAGCAGATAATAAATCATTAATAGCGAAGCGTGGCCTCGCGTGATCTTGTCGAGCAGTGTGAGCGTGTGGGTGCGCGGGTGTACACAGTGGTTCGCCAGGTGAGTGAGCGCTGCGCGGAGCTGAGCGCGCGGGTGCGCGTGTGTACACAGTGGTTCGCCACGTGAGTGAGCGCTGCGCGGAGCTGTGTACGTTAGGGCAGCGTCATTCGCCCTCCGACCCCTGACCCCCGTGGAGAGACAACACAGCGTTTGCAGGTGAACGAGAGAGGGCGGCGAGCTATGCCTCTCACACGAGCTCGCGGAGGGACGGACCAGGGAGGGGAGCCATCGGGTGATGAGCCCAGCGACGGCAGCAGCTACTCGCAGAGCAGCGAGGGGTCGGCGCACGGCGGAGCCCCTGCCATACGCCCGGAGCACGGAGGGACTTCGGGGGCCAGCGACCCCGACATGTGAACGCTCGTAACGTGGGTGGTCGGTGTTTTCGCCGGGTGCGCGCTCCGTTCTGTGGCCGTGGATACTCGTGCTGCTTGGGGGCTCACACCCACCGTAAACACCTGTCCCACGGCCCTTTAAACGATCGCTATCAACCGCTCACAGCGGCCGCGCGTGTGCGATAAACGCCACAGCCCTCCGACCCCCGACCCCCAGCTGCCGTGCTATTTTTAGAGTGTGCATGGGGTTGAGCAGTAGCGTGCGGGTAGTTATTACCAATGTTTGAGGGAAGGCACACGGAGGGTGTTTGAATGACTAAGGTGGCCAAGGGGCCAGCTGAGAGTTATGTCTCACAGAGAGGAATCGGGGGGCAGTAGCCCCCAGTTTCCTACTTGTTCGCCATCGTTGTCAACACACGCTCTGGAATTTTTTCCAGGTGGTCTCCAGAGCCCGGAGGCAGCACATTTCTTGTTTATGTCAATTCTCAGAAGTGTTCACACTTTTTTTTTACGCACCCTGTAATTTCAACTTTTAACGTGCCGCCACCGTGCCCTAGACAGTATTCGCTCGCTCGAGAAGCGAGCAAACGACTCGGAGGCGAGCGAGGAGGAAAAGGAGGAACCACAGATGAGCGGGAACAAGCGCCCAAGCTCTGCGGGTCCTCTATATCAGCCAATCAATGAATGATTCCGCGTGGGAAAAAACCGGAGCAACCCGGAGAAAACCCCCACACGTTCGAGGGAGAAACGCTCTATCCCATAGACATTTTTTTTTTGTAGCACCTTCTTCCGGCGAGCAAGTGCATGGCTCCTCATTGTAAGGAGTCTCACAGTATTTGCGCAGTGATCCACCAACCCCAACCCTCGTGGCACGCCACACTGAACCACACGCTGACCTCACCAATGACCACCCTCAACTCACTGCTCTCAACACTTACCACCCACACCACTCTCCGCCCCCCACACCCTTCCAGTCATCAGCGCCTCTCACCACCCTGTAACACACTCACCAGCATCGGCACCTCCTCCCCACACTCATTACCCACCCCCCTAATGACCACCCCATGCCCCCCAATGACCCTGCTCCCCCCATGCCCCCCAATGACCCCCCACCCATGACCCCCAATTACCCTCCCCTCAATGACCCCCCTCCAATTAACCCCTCCCCCCATGCCCCCCAATGACCCCCCCAATGACCCCCTCCCCCCAATGACCCCCTCCCCCATGCCCCCTCCCCGAAAAGACCCCCCTCCCCCCACCCATGCCCCCCAATTACCCCCCTCCCCCATGTTCCCTCCCCCCAAAGACCCCACCCCCCAATGAGACCCCACCCATGCCCTCAAATTACCCCCCTCCCGCATGCCCCCTCCCCCCAAAGACCCCCCAAATTACCCCGCCCCTCCAATTACTCCCCTGCCCCCCCCAGCACTATGCCCCCCCTCCCACCCATTACAAACCCCACCCCTCCCCCCACTCCTCTCACCGTGCTCCCCGGTTTTCACGGGGGCGGGACGCTCGGGGTGGGGGAGGGCCGTGGCGGGGTGCCGAGCCGGCCCGACCTCCGGCACGACGAGGGCGCGTGACCAGGGGCTCCACGTACCACTGAAGAAGGAGTCGGGGGCGGGGGCCGAGCGCACGCGCACAGCGAGGGAGGGACCCCCCCGCGGGGGGCGAGGTCCCAGACGGAGTTCGGGGGAGCGCAGGAGGCCCGGAAGCAGCTGAGGGGTGCAAGACAAAGACAAAGATCCCCCATGTAGCCTTAACAGACTGTTGGGGCAAGTGCTGTTAGCGAGTGGCAGCACCTATGAAGGAGACAAAGACAAAGATCCCCCGTGTAGCCTTAACAGACTGTTGGAGCAAGTGCTGTTATTAGTGCATGTTTGTTCTCATGTTCACCACAAGTAGTTAATGCAGTACTTGATTCCTTCCTAAAGGTTTCTATTTGGTGTTTGAACATCTTAACACAACTCCAGTTTAATTGCCAAAAAGGATAAATACACATTCTTATTTTTCATACTTTAATACTGACAACAACAAAAAAGGTCCCATGGATTTTAAAATAATTTTGAGTTGTCGTGACACTGGCACGCGGTACACGGATACGCGTCACACGGGCACGTGCTACACGGACACGCGGTACACCCACCTGCCAGGTTACGGCGCCACCCGTCGCCTCCCGTTGCTGCTGCACCTGGTAGTGCAGCTGCTCCCAGAGCGGGCTTTGGCGGTTGTAGCCGCTGCTCCACCGCACGAGCAGCCCCAGCACCAGGCTCCTCCGCGTCGCGCTCAGCCCCACAGGAGCGCGGGGCCGGACTGGGATAGTTGAGGGGGGAGAGGGGCGGGGTGGCGAGGGGGTAGGGGGGCGGAGCGGAGCGGAGCGGGGCGGGGGGAGAGCCCCCCATGATTAGTGATCAAAAACCGCGCGTTCGGATTTGTGTGCAGGAGCTGCGAATGCACACTGGGTTGTTTCGGAATCGGAATCTGTATTTAAGACTGGGGCAGGAATCCGATGAGCTTAAAAGCTCTTTTTCACCAGGTGTCCCAGTTTAGGGCCCACGGGGTCAGCGAATTACACCAAATACGAAATAGATACAAGGTAAGCAAGTCAAAGTACACGAGGAAGCCATTGGGAGCTATGCACTTTTAAATAATCTAGATTGAAAACTTATTTATTTAAAATTTCTTTGCGTGTGTTAGTTTGTTGTCCTTCCTCCCATACTCCTTTTTCAGACTCGACCTGGCCACAAATTATAGCTCAACGAAAGTAGCTTAGCATCATGTGGACATGTATAGCAGCAAATAATCAAAATGCCTGATGTTGATTTTAAACGTGGAGGAAAAAACCAGAGGACCCGGAGAAGAATCCACGCAACCACGGGGAGAAGATGCAAACTCCAAATATACAGCAGGCATCAGGATCTGGATCGAACCCATGACTTCCTGTATACCAGGCGAGGTAGTTAACATCTCATAGCCACCGTGATGATGAGAAAAACGCAAACTCCAAATATACAGCAGGCATTAGGATCTGGATCTAACCCATAACCTCCTGTATACCAGGCGAGGTAGTTAATATCTCCTAGCCACCGTGATGATGATGAGAGAGAAAGAGAGACACAACTCAAAATATACAGCATGCATCAGGATCTGTAAGGAACCCACGACGTCCTGTATACCACGCGAGGTAGTTAACAGGCGAGGTAGTTAACATCTAGAGGAGGTTAATAGGCGAGGAAGTTAGCATCTCCCCACCGCGGCGCCCTTAAGTTTACATCGCAAGATCGTGAGAGTTCGCGGTTTGGGGTGGTGTTCATCTAACAGTGGATTGACCAACCCCTAAGACATACCATCCATAGCGAGGGGAGGGGGGAATGGGGGAAATCATATATTCCAGAGCTCAGCCTTGGACAGCTCCGGCTAAAAATTAAGCCCTGGTTACGACTACAAGACTGGAATTACTGTGACTGCATGATACTACGATAACACTTTGTAACACAATTTTTATTCCTGGGTAGTAAGTGTTATTTTGTAATTGCTTATGACTAAAAAGTATAGAAAATGGCTATTATTCCCCACAAGGACAGTGACCAGGACAGTGATATTTAGAAATTTACCTATTTTCAATGAGAAAACGGGAGAATTTGTGCCTTTTCGTTCACATAAAGTCAGAAGGAAAAAAACATATGAATCACAATGAACATATATTTATACTAAAGTAATACAAAAAATACTACAAAAGATTTAGAAGTGAGTAGTTTTTCGAGATTTACGATTATACTGTAAATCACTTTAACAAATCAGCCCCTAAATGTAGTCTTCCATCATGTTCTCGTTATACTGTCCTTGGTAGCGGCGTTCAAAGTCCAATATATCCTGGTGGAAGCACTCGACTTTCTCCTCCGAGTACGCTCCCATGTTCTCCTTGAATTTATAAAGATGAGCATCAAGGACATGGACTTTGTGGTACATCCTACAGCCCTTTGTGCCGTAGTTCTTCACCAGTCTCAAACAGCTCCACGTAGTTTTCGACCTTGTGATTGCCCAGGAAGCCACGAACCACTGCGACAAACCTGTTTCAAGCCGCTTTCTCCTTACTAGTGAGCTTCTTGGGGAATTCGTTGCACTCCAGGATCTTTTTTATCTGTGCTCCGATGAAGACACCGGCTTTGACTCAGAGAGCTTAGAGAAGTCTTGAAGGTACTTGAAGGCTGCCGACTCCTTATCTACAGCTCTGACATTGTTTCATGAGGCCCAATTTGATGTGCAGTGGTGGCATCAGCACCTTCCGGGGGTCCACCAGTGGCTCCCACTTGACGTTGTTCCTCCCCACAGAGAACTCGGTCCACTGCAGCCAGTGCCGCCTGTGGTAGTGCGCCTTGGTGTCCCTGCTGTCCCAAAGGCAAATATAGCAGGTAAAATTGGTAAAACCGCCTTGGAGACCTATCAGGAATGCCACCATTTTAAAATCTCTGATGACCTTCCAGCTGTACTCATCATACTTTAAGGCGTCCAGCAAGGTCTTGATGCTGTTGTAATCCTCTTTGAGGTGCACCAAGCGAGCCAGGGCAAGAGACGGGTACTTGTTACCATTATGGAGCAGCACGGCTTTGAGGCTCCTGGATGATCTGTCAATGAAGAAGCGCCACTCATTCTGGTTACAGGCGATTCCGATTGCCTCGAACAGACTGGTCACATTTTGGCCGAAGCAGAACCCATCTTTACAGGTGAAGAAGCTGTAAAAAGTTTGGTGACGCTTCCTATGATCTGTGACTTGCACACTTTCATCCAACAAGTTCCACTGCTTGAACCTAGACGTCAAAAGCTCGGCATTGGATTTGGTGAGACCAATATCTTCGACCAAGTCGTTGAGATCTTTTTGGTTGGGGTATTATGGGTTTCTCTCCCTTCAGCTCCACCTCTGAATTTGTCATCTGGATCTACAACGTCTTCCTCGCTCTCTGACTTGCTGCTCTCTTCTAAAGACGGCTGCTCTCTCTGCAAAGGAGTGGATACGGGGAGCTCATGGCAGTGTGGCACCGGGGCAATGGATTAAGGAAGGTCCGGATACGTGATAGCAGGTGCATTCTTGTCAGTCCGACGTTTGGAAGGGTCCACCATGCAGAAGTAGCAGTTGCTTGAGTGGTCAGTGGGTTGCCGCCAAATTCTTTGGATAATAAACTTCATGGCTCTCTTTTTCCCTCTGTACCATCCTACAAAAGTACATGTATTTCACCCATGACTAATGTGTAAGAGATTATCGCACCATTTTTCATGTATAATATATATATTTTTCAATAACATTGAAAATTGTAAAACATTTTAAAAGAAAAAAACTTTTAAAAAAATGTTTTACAAATTTTATAACATAAAATTCCGAGCAACAATTGTCCATCTTACCTTACAAAGTTTTTTTTTGCATTGCTCGCAGGTGAAATGAGGTGCCCAGGGTTTGTCTTGATCCCTGACAGGCATGCCGAAATATGCCTTGTAGGCCTCACACATCTTAGCAGATGCTTCCACAGAGTACTTTTACGTTCTTGTCTTGATAAATTGGCTGCATACACAGCAAAATGCATCTGCCGGATTCTTGCAGCCTCTTGATGCCATCTCAGAAAAATGCAGATATGTATCCACTTAGGCAGCTGGAACTAAACTGAACTGGTGGGCTTAAGGCCCCTGTATTTATACTACTATTTATATTTCTGGAAAGTTCTAGAATGTTCTAGAAGTTACTCCAAATCTACTCAGCACTGAATCTATCTGAAATGTTCTCGAAAATAGGTAAATTTCAAAATATCAGTCCTGGTCACGAAAGCAAAGTTTGTGGGGAATAATAGCCACTTTATGTACTTTTGAGGCATAAGCAATTAGGAAATAACACTTACTACCCAGGAAGAAAAAAAGATTGTCACACAGTGTAATTCCTGTGTAGTACATCATCGTCGTCATCAGCCATGGTCAGTCCACTGCTGGATGAGGCCACACCATCGACCATGACCCTGTGGCGTTCGTGGTCCACGTAGCGCCAGCACGCACACAGATTTCGCCGCTATAACAACAACCCTCCAATGTCTCCTCGGTCGCCACTCTGTCGTTATTCCATCGTTGTCGCCGGTCTCGAAAAACAATGATTCCCCATGGCTCAAAGTCACTGTGGATAAGACCTTCATAGAGGCACGACCACGATGTGTGTATAACTTCTTTCGCACCATACATAGCCAACCACGCTAATCAGAGGTGCGTTGGAAGGAAAACAAACTAGACACAAAAGACAGTTCTAAACAAATGCGTTATCAATTTAGTGTAGTGGTGGTGTATAGTGTAGTGTATAGTAATGTATAGTGTCGTATAAATATTGACTTAAAGCTTTCGTCGCTGCAGGAATTCATACTCTTTGGGTATTTCGGTAAAGTCACGTAGACAGCCAAGTGCGCTAATTGGAGGTGCAATAGAAGGAGACGAAAACAAACGCACAAAACGCAGTCTCAAAATAAATTTGTTTGTCAATCTGTGTGATGACGAGTTAAAAGTGCATCGCTCCAGTTGGTTCCTAATATCAGAAGCAAGAGCGTTCCATACGGCCACAGAAGCGCATCTTAAAGCGCGCGATCCGGTGATGACAGAAGCGGGTTGAGCAGGGGACCCTCACCGCACCTCACCTATGTTACTGAGGTGAAAGACGCGGGTGGTGAGGTTGGTGTAGGGGCTACTGGTGAGGTTGTTGGTGAGGTTCGTAGAGGCGGGCACAGCCGCCGTCGTCTCCTGCTGTAGCCACACAGAGATGGTGGCGAGTGGGTCGCTGAGGGCGCTGGGTAGAGGAACTTGGCAGCTCAGCAGCGAGGGGGTCCCATGAGCCTCCGCTCCCCGCTCCTTCTCTCCGAACCCCGGTGACTCTGGGTCCCCGAGGCCCCCGCTAGGATCTCCTGGTGGCTGGGTACCGTCCTCCGGGGGTCCCGCGCACTGCCCAGGGGCGCAGTGACACGAGCCGATGAGGAACCTGGGGACGTGGGTACCCGGTCGGTCACCACAAGAGGTGACCACAACAACCACCACTAACCGCTGCCACCCAACCATAACGATCGTCCCAACAACTACCACCACCATCGTCTTCAACAAGGCTCGCCGCAACAACTACCACCACCAACATCATCAACAACGATCATCACAGCCACATCAACTACCCCCACCATCATCAACAACGATCATTACAGCCACATCAACTACCCCCACCATCATCAACAACGATCATCACAGCCACATCAACTACCACCATCACCATCAACAACGATCATCACAGCCACAGCAACTACCACCACCACCATCATCATCATCAACAACGATCATCACAGTCACATCAACTACCACCACCATCATCAACAACGACCATCACAGCTACAGCAACTACCACCACCATCATCATCACAACGATCTTCACAAAAACCACCACCATCATCATCATCACAACCACAACAACGACCACCACTATCATCACAACGATCACCACAACCACCTGTACACGCGCTGGTGGTGCGTAGTGTGGTGAGTAGTGTGTAGTACGCTAACACGTCGATGTTCAACACCCAGCTGGTGAGTGGTGAGGTGAGTGATGTGGTGAGTAGTGTGTGGTACGCTTACCCGTCGGTGTACACACCCAGCTGGTGAGTGGTGAAGTGAGTGGTGAGGAGCGGCCACTCGCGTCTCTGTGCCGGATCCCAGGAGCAGCTGAGCGCAGCAGGAATCTCCATGCACAAGAAGCAGACCAGTCCCTCACCTACACACACACACCCGCAAGTCCCTCACCTACAAACACACACCCGCAAGTACCTCACCTACACACACACACACACACCAGTTCGTCACACACCCCCACCAGTTCCTCACCTACACACACACTCACAAGTCCCTCACCTACACACACACATACTCACCAGTTCCTCACCTACACACACACAAACACCAGTTCCACACACACACACTCACCAGTTGCTCACCTACACACACATACCAGTTCCTCACCTACACACACTCACCAGTTCCTCACCTACACACACACACACCAGGCTCACACACACACACTCACAAGTGCCTCACATACACACACAATCACAAGTCCCTCACCTACACACACAGACACACACACCAGTCCCTCACCTACACACACACACACACCCCAGTCCCTCACCTACACACACACACACCAGTCCATCACCTACACACACACACACACACCAGTTACTCACCTACACACACACACACCCACCAGATCCTCACCTACACACACACACTCGCCAGATCCTCACCTACACACACACACACTCACCAGTTCCTCACCTACACACACACACTCACCAGTCTCTCACCTACACACACACACACTCACCAGTTCCTCACACACACACTCACCAGTTGCTCACCTACACACACATACTCACCAGTTCCTCACCTACACACACTCACCAGGCTCACATACACACATTCACAAGTCCCTCACATACACACACACTCACAAGTCCCTCACCTACACACACACACCAGTCCCTCACCTACACACACACACCAGTCCATCACCTACACACACACACACTCACCAGTTACTCACCTACACACACACACCAGATCCTCACCTACACACACACTCACCAGATCCTCACCTACACACACACACTCACCAGATCCTCACCTACACACACACACTCACCAGTTCCTCACCTACACACACACACTCACCAGTCCCTCACCTACACACACACACTCACCAGTTCCTTACCTACACACACACACACTCACTAGTCCCTCACCTACACACACAAACACACACCAGTTCCTCACCTACACACACACTCACCAGTTACTCACCTACACACACTCACCAGTTCCTCACCTACACACACACAGACACTCACAAGTCCCTCACATACACACACACACTCACAATCCCTCACCTACACACACACGCACTCACCAGTCCCTCACCTACACACACACTCACCAGTCCCTCACCTACACACACACACACTCACCAGATCCTCACCTACACACGCACTGACCAGTCCCTCACCGACACACACTCACCAGTTCCTCACCTACACACACACACACACACCAGTCCATCACCTACACACACACACACACACTCACCAGTCCCTAACCTACACACACACACACTCACCAGTCCCTCACCTACACACACACACTCACCAGTTCCTCACCTACACACACTCACCAGTTAATCACCTACACACACACACCAGTCCCTCACCTACACACACACACTCACCAGTTCCTCACCTACACACACACACACACCAGTCCATCACCTACACACACACACTCACCAGTCCCTAACCTACACACACACTCACCAGTCCCTCAACTACACACACACTCACCAGTCCCTCACCTACACACACACACTCACCAGTTCCTCACCTACACACACACACACTCATCAAGTTCCTCACCTACACACTCACACACCAGTCCCTCACCTACCCACATGTAGTGACATAAGAAGGGAGGGGCTGCTGGGGGCTCTGGGACTCTGGGCGTGCCAGGCGCTTAAGCCTCTTGGCGTCAGGCGTGGGTTCCCAGGCGGGTCAGACGCTTAAGCCTCTTGGCGTCAGGTGTTGGGTTCCCAGGCGCTTAATCCCCTTGGCGCCGCCAAAGGGGGGGGCTGTGTGTGCTCTGTGGGATATCTGGGGGCACACACGGCCCCACCCCTCGTTGGGGACTGGGCATAAAAGGGGAGCTCCCTGGACGATCAGGGCCAGTCGTAGCTCAAGACCCAAGACCCAAGACCAGCCATCTGAGGACCCTGGGACGCTGTGAGAGCCAGTGGTGGGACTCTGGAACTCCCGACTCTACGACCTTGTGAGGGCGAGTTCCAGAGCGTAGCCAGAGTAGAGTATCTAGGCTGTGTACCTAGGCTGTGTACCTAGGCTGTAACAGAGTATCAGGACTGTTGGAGAGTTGGAGTGTTGGATTGTTGGAGAGTTGGAGTGTTGGACTGTTGGAGAGTTGGAGTGCTGGAGTGGTGTTGGATTGTAATAAAGAAGTTACCTCTACAAGTGTCTCCGCAACCCATTACATTTGGCGTCAGAAGTGGCTATGGAGACAAGACGTAAGCCATGTACCTTCAGTCCTGATGGCGATGTCGAGGAGCAAGCAGCGATGGGGCGGCCAACGCCGGCCGACAGCGACGCCGCACCGCCGGCCGACAACCACGCTGTACCGCCGGCTGAGCAGCTGTCTGCTCCGCCGACCGTCCCCTCTCCAGCGTCGGGAGCAGGGATGGAGGAGGCGCTGCTTCGCCTCGCAGAGTTGCTCTGCGCCACCGCCTCCCTGCTGGGCGAGATGCGGCGCTCGCCCGAGCCCGCCGCCGCCATTCCCGTCACCGGCGTTCCCCCCACGGATGTGGGAGATGCTTCCGGGTGTGTCGTCACTTCTGCCGGGGGAGCAATGACCGCTTGGAGCAACGTCACTTCCGGGCCTAGCGTGGTCCAACCAAATAACGCCGCGTTATCAGCGCTGCGACCTTCACTGCCGGTCGACAGCTGGCTTAAACCTAGCATACCGCGTCATCAGCGCTGCGACCGGACAGTGACGGCGCCATTCTTACTGTAACCAGCGCCGAGGCCGGCACATCGACCGACACGCTGGTCGCCGCCTTTGCTGCTCTGGCCAAAGGTTGGAGGTCGGGAGACCAGGCCCCTGACACTTCGTACATTTACGCGCTCCGGATTAATGATTTTTTTGTTGACATTTTCTTTGTTGTCGTCGAGGAGTCGTGATTGTTGTTGGGTCAACTGTGTGGAGCTTCGCTCGTGAGTGTTGTCAATGTGTGTGCGAAACTTTGCTTGTGATTGTTAAAAATGTATGGTTTGTATTGAGCTTTGTTCGTGAATGTTAATGTATAGCTTGTGCTGTCATTGTTAACGATGTATAGACTGTATGGGGCATTTATTTTGAGATGGTGACATGCTGCCAAGGATTTGAAACTGTCATGCTGGCTCTCAAATATCTTGGGGTGCAGATCCTGACCAGGATGGCCCAGCGGGTGTTGCGTGTCTAACACGAGAGTTGTGGTCCCGTCATGCTATGGCTGACGGCTTGACCTGACAGCCCGGAGATAGAGACACTCCGTGGCATGTCTAGCCTAGTGGGCTGTGTGCTCACATGGCTCGGAGAGTGTGGTCCCATCATGCTATGGCTGACGGCTTGACCTGACAGCCCGGAGATTGAAACACTCCGTGGCATGTCTAGCCTAGTGGGCTGTGCGCTCACATGGCTCAGAGAGTGTGGTCCCGTCATTGAATGGCTGACGGCTTGACCTGATGGCCCGGAGGTTGAGACCCTCCGTGGTGCGTCTGGAGCAGTAGGCTCGCCCTGACGGCCCGGAGATTGAAACACTCCGAGGTGCGTTGAAACAGTGGGCTGGAGATTCGTGGTGTTCAGGTGTAGTTGTCCCGTTACGTTGGGACTGTATCCCTCAGTTGTTAGGGTGCATGTTGTGCAGGGAGTGAACGATGGGTCGTCTCAGCTCGGTCGGTACAGCTATATGCTGTGATGCGAGTCTTGGAGAGAGACTGGGTCTCAGCTTGGTCGGTACAGCTATATGCTGCGATGCGAGTCTTGGAGAGAAACTGGATCGTCTCAGCTTGGTCGGTACAGCTATATCCTGCGATGCGAGTCTTGGAGAGAGACTGGGTCTCAGCTCGGTCGGTACAGCTGTACGCTGCGATGCGAGTCTTGGAGAGAGACTGGGTCGTCTCAGCTCGGTCGGTACAGCTATATGCTGCGATGCGAGTCATGGAGAGACACTGGGTCTCAGCTCGGTCGGTACAGCTATATGCTGCGATGCGAGTCTTGGAGAGAGACTGGGTTGAAATCCCCCCCCCCCCGATATGGCCGACGTGCGGGGTTTTAGGATGGAGACGCCACGTTGGAAAGGCGGGGGGTGCTAATGGTTGACATGTAATGTCAGTGGTGGTTCTCATTGAGGGCTGCTGGGACGCAAGCACGGGATGCCTTGGAGATGCGGTTCGTGCGTGCGGCCACCATTTATGGACAGGAGCAGGCAGATTTATTTTGTTTGTGTCATGTCAATTTTATATATATATTTTAAAATGTAGATACTGGAGCAGCCCTGAAGCGTGACTTCTTTGCCCAGTACATTGGTCGGCCCTGAAGTACGACTTCTCGACCCGGGATGTAGACAGACGTCCGGATAAGTATGTGTAGAGGGGTGCTAGACATGTTGGTCTTCGCCTTCTCACCACCTGACGGATGGGAGGGTGGCAGGGTGGTGTGGATCCCTGCTATCCATGCGGTGGTTGTGTGATTTCGGTTCGATTACCGGTGTTGGTTGTGCATCCAATGCGTCGGAATCTGTATATTTGTTGTTGTTAATTCCCCGGTTTCTATGCGGATCCCGAGGAGGGCTAGGTGTGCCGCGGGTCGTTTGTTCACGTGTCATTGCTTCACCTTTTTGTTGATTGATGCTTGTATATAGTGTAAAGTTGTACAGGTCGGTTATGGTATTTATGGTTGCTTTCTTGTTCTCTTTTCTTTTCCTGTTGAGGCTCGTGTATTTTTTTTCTCTCTCTCCCTTTCGTTAATTTAAACTTTCTAATTATTGACAGCCGGGACGGCTAGAGGCTACATAGAGGAGGGTAATGTAGTGACATAAGAAGGGAGGGGCTGCTGGGGGCTCTGGGACTCTGGGCGGGCCAGGCGCTTAAGCCTCTTGGCGCCAGGCGTGGGTTCCCAGGC